TGGCTTGGTTCCTTTCTCTTTAACGCGGTCCAATTGTGCGCCACATAAATACTTGAAACGTATCGAAGGGCCGAAAATTGGCGGGAACTCCGGCTCGGACAACCTGTAACCAAACTGAATCAATGATTGTCCGTCAGAAGAAGGAAGCGCCAAGCGCGGCTCACCTGGATCCGATAAGATCTCGGCGCTCGAGGCGAACCGGCAGAGCCGCATGATGGGCGACGCACAGTGCGCATCTTCTAGAGGCGGTGCGGATAAAAATCTAAGGCCCCGTAAAAATCGACGTGCGGAACCAGAAAAGGCTTGAGATATTCAATTTAGCCCAAGTGGACCTTTTTATAACGAATTTTGATTCTCCTAGCATCCGAGTGATGGCGCAATAGGTCAAAAGTGGCTATGAGGTACCTAAGTGCACGTTTTTAAAAGTTAACTTTAGAAGTTGACACTCAGTATTTCGACTTAAAATGCCGAGTTTAACCTGATTTTAACCAATTTTTAAATGCAAATATAGTCGCAAAAGTTCACTGAAAAAAAGGTGCTTGGCTCAAGCATGATAATTCTTAAATTTACCGCCCAGAATTTGTTTTATCTTGATTTAAGCTGAATTTTTCTTGATGCAAGCACAATAATGCTTGAGTTAAGCGCAAAAGTAGTTCCTATCAAACAGCAAAATTCTTGATTTAAGAAAAAATACTTCCTGGTGGCAAATTTAAGATTCCTTTTTTTTCAGTGTTGAGTGTCCAAAGAATGAGAAAATGTTAACCACCCAGAGGAATATCTCTATTCTCAAGAAGATGTTCTTTAAAGTTGACAACTAAAATACTTTGTATTTCTTATGGTACAGGTCCTTTTCGATCGAATTAACTTGCACTTCAAACCCATATTCAAACGGATTTTTGGAGGAAATTAAAAAAAAAAAAAAAGTTTACCCTTCTCTCAGAAAAATTGCCCTGGTCACTAATATCATAACAATATTTGGAGTATTTGAAAGTCAATTTTAGATTTTTGTCCATAGGATTCCGGACTGTGCGACGGCGGAGGATACTGTTGCACGGAAGTCCGCTTTCTTGATGGACGAGGGTTGAGGTGGGGGTGGGGGAGCACCGGCGGAGCGGGAACGCTCCGTGAAGGTGATGCGAACGGACGAGTAGTTCGTGATCAGGGTCCCGATGCGAGTAATTCGGTTTTCGCATCCCGCCCGTTTCCAATTTTCCTCTGTTGAATGGGGTTTTTATGCTCAACGGGGTTTTAACAACTCCCCTTTTTATTTTCTAATTTCCTCGGCTCCCCGTCTCCCGACACCTGCCGGCATGCGCCACTCGCCTCCCAATTTTGGGGATTTTCAGGAGTACCGGCACGTAGGAGGAGGACTGTCATGTTTTCTTCATGACAACCCGACTCAAGGTCAAACGTGCTCTCCAATTTGTCACCTTCGTGGGTAGATTGCTCACAGAGGATGGATGCATTTCCGCACGAAATTCTTCGCACATTGTGGGTAAAGAAAAGGAGACCCCCGAATGGAGAAGTAAGTTCCTCCGTTGGCAAGGAGGTTCTTGAAAGTAACGGTCATAGGGAACTAAGCGCAAACGGGACGATTTGCGCTTATGGGCTGCCGATTCGGGAGATTATCTCTTAGTCGATGTTTATCTGTCATTTGCACGGCAGCAAGGAAGATTTTCAAAGCTTGCTCAATCCTATCCCTGGTAAAAATTGGCAGTTGAATGTGTGTTCCAAAATACCATAGACCTAAAGCCGGCTGTAAGATTTCCAATAGCTTCTGTAGCCGGCTGTACAATTTCTTATAGCCTTTTATAGCCGATGGCGATTGAGCAACAGCCAGACGATAAAGTTTATGCTAAACGTTACTAAATACGGATACTGGGACCAAGTTAGTTTTTGGACTACCGCTCTCTTTTTGTGCCGTAATATCTTGATATATTTTGCGAGGAAAGCTCCGTACTTTTGAAGGATGCCTGTCATTCTTAATATGTTGGAGCGCCTTCAATTTCTTATGATACTATGCAATACCTCTGGTGTGAAATAGTTGCTTCAGACGCCGTGGCACGCCGTGGCGAGGCGAGCGGGCAGAGAGCGCATTGGCGCCTACAAACCTAACAGGGATACTTCACGCATTGCGCAATCTGTGAAGTATCCTTGTTAGGTTTGTAGGCGCCAGTGCGTCGCCGCTCCGCTTTGTGTTAGGCTCTAATATTTAATCTCGCGAAGTTAGCGTTTTTCAACTCATGATTTTGAAATGTTTGCTCACCCTTTATGGACCATTCTCATTTTAATTGATGAAAAAAAATATGTTTTAAAGGTAAATATAGTGTGTGTTTTGTAAATATTAAGGTAGTTCCGTATCAAACTCAATGATTTCCAAAGTACACGAATTTCTACACAATTTCTTATAGCCAATAGCGATAAAGTGTAAAGCCCGGCGATAGGAACTATAGCCCGACTGTATACTTTTTTATAGCTTCGTATAGTCCGGCTATATGGTTTGCTCCGCTTTCTACAGTCAGCTATATGATTTTCAATAGCCATCTTTAGTCGGCTATAAGAACTCCTATGGTATTTTGAAACACAGCTCCCATCGCCAATTTTTACCAGGGATCCTAGGTGAGGGATCAATATACCCAACTTTGATCTTTTTTCCTTGGGTTAGCAATGTTTATTAAATCGGGAAAAACTTCAGTGAACTGTAAGCCCTCCTTTTTTCAAGAATCAAGAATGAATAAATACGATTAAAGCTCACGATAGAACCACATTTTCCTTATCTAGTTCAGAATCATAGTCTGAATTCATTCCCCAGTTCATGCAAGTTATCATCACAGCAATGTCACATATGCTCTCAATGCAAAGTGGAAGTCGTATGCAAAAGGCAATCACTTGAGCTCTCCAACTACAACTTTAACGTAAAAAATAGGAGCCCAAGGTTGGCACTGGAAAAAGAAACACATTGGATCTAGAGTCCCGACTCTTAAAAACATCGACAAGAAAAAATACTCTTGATTCCATCGGGTTTAACCTTAAATCAAGAACCCAGCCTCTCAATTTGAACGGATTTCCTTTTGATTTAAGCTTAAATCTGATTGAATCAAGATTATTTTTTTCTTTTCAATGTTTTCAAGCGTCTGGACTCTAGATCCGATGTGTTTTTTTTCTAGTGCGTTGAAACCACGCGGTTTCTTAACAAAAACAATTTTAGATGGGAAATTAGTAAATCCAAACACTTCAGTAAGTAACATATGTATTTAACGAAGAGTTAAAGCAATTTATTAACTTTACAACATTTTTCGGTTGTTGATTTGTAGTTTCCTTATCCCCCTTAGTACTTCTCGAAATTACCTCTTCAATGCTCGGTTTTACCAAGTCTGAGGTACTTTTTCCGGCATTTCGGTTGTATTTTCCGGAATTTCTGCGGTATATCCGCGGTTTCCGTCGTATATTCCGGATTTATTGTGAACTTTTAAATAGGTCTTTACGAATGGCGCATGAATGGCTCTTGATGTTTGTCAAATTGCCGTGGTAACTCGCCAATTCTCACTTTTAGACGCACTACAGACAGTCCCGCCTCTAAAATTCGGCAACATTCTGAGCCCAGGGAGGCGTGGGGGAAGGGGGGGAGAGGGGCAAAGAAGGGTATCCTGTGGGAAATCAAAAGGCCCGACCCGTACTGACTAGCTGCGACACGAGTAAACAGGAGCTATCAGTCGAACGTCTCCCGTGTAAACGCCGAATTAGAGGTATCCCGACGCGAGCGTGCAGATATCTTCCGTCGTCAAATTGAGACGCGAGACGTGCACGAACGCATGGAGCACTTACAGAGGCCGCCCGCCCCACAGTGGAGCCAGTTAATGAAAGAGATTGGACACAATGTGAAAACTTTCAAAGTTTCTATCCTTGCTAACATCAAACTTAGAAGTTCATATATCACTCAAATTCTTCTCTTGTGAAATTTTCTCTCAGAAATCTTTTTAACTTGGTATCAATGATAGTAGCACGAAAATTCAGGCTTGCATGAGCACTGGAAAAAAAACCCATTGGATCTTGAGTCCAGACTCTTGAAAACATTGACAAGAAGAAATACTCTTGATTCGATCGGATTTTTGCTTGAATCGAAAGGAAATTTGCTTAAATTAAGAGGCTTGGTTCTTGATTTAAGCTAGATTCCGATTGAATCAAGAGTACTTTTTCTTGTCGATGTTTTTAAGAGTCTGGACTCTAGATCCAATGTGTGTTTTGTTTTTCCAGTGAGGGTAGTCAAGTGTTATGAATATTAATGCAAAATTTATGAAATAAGTAAAAACTTACATCTTATTATGAATTGTAAGTTTTTTCCTTTTTTCACAAACCTGGAATTATCATTCATACCACTTGACTACCCTCTTTCGAACCTAATTTTTGTCCGACTTTTCCCTTCAGCTGATTCCACTGTGCGCCCCAGACATCTCCGTCGCGCATTTCTGACTGTTTTGGACACAACACTAAATCACCAAATTTTCGACAAAATTAAATGGCTAAATTTCACGGCAATTTCTGGTCATTTAATCTGAATTTTGTTTTTGAATCCAGCAACATGAAATCCTCCCGAAATTTCTGACTTGACAATTTAGGATGCAGATTTTCATGCCCTGTTTTTCCGGGGCCGCAGTAGCAATTGACTTTGAAATGTAAGGTCGTGGAGCAGTATTACCTTAAGAGTTTAGGAGAGTGCAGGATGCAAATTCTCATACCATGCATAGAGGCGGAAGAGCGGTCTGCTCTGGACCGTCATGATAGTCATGTTTTTGCTTACCGTCTCAGCAATCCATTCGTGGACGCGAGCACATGAGTCATGACTGACCCGAGTGCAAATATATGAAATTAAATTTTCTGAAGTTTTTCGGCCTCCGCAATGAATCTAGTACCATCTCCCAAAAATTCCAACAAATATAAATAATATAAATCTGTCAGGGTCAAAATCGGTGAAGTTGATTCCTTTCCATGCCGGAACAAATCGACTTAATGGCATTTTTTAGATCCTCTTTACACGATATGATTACTCCTTACATAGCAGAGTCCAATTTTTACAACTAGTCATGAGACGGCGCGATCACTTCTGATGACCTTTTCGTGTTTGCCAGAAATCTTTCCCATCGTCGATCGTTTTTTCCCCCGAACGCGGTGCAATTAGCACAATTCTTGCACACCATCAAATCAGTTTAAAAGCAGGCAGCCCATCATTCTAAACATCAGTTCTGCAATCACCCTCCAAATCTGCGTACCCTGCCCAGTGTTCTTTCCCCGAGTTCCAACATGCATTTGTTTTCCGTGGTTGTTCTGGTCTGCTGCCTCCTCGTCGCGGTATTGTCGGCACCGGCCGAATTTTACACCTCCCAATTCGACAACATCGACATCGAGAGCATCCTGAAAAATGAAAAACTCCTGGATAACTACTTCAACTGCCTCATGGACGAGGGACCCTGTACCCTGGAGGGACGGACTCTCAAGAGTAAGTTGTGATACTTACGTTCATAATCATTGCAGTTAAGAGAACGTTTCTCGGGGTGTGCAGTTGTCAATAACTTCCAAAGACCTTTGCTCTGTAGTGTTTTTTCGGTTCAATTAAATCCTATCAGGGTGTATGTGAACTTAAATGTGCAATTTTCATTTCGGGTATCCTCAATACTCACTGGTAAATAAAACACATTGGATCTAGAGTCCGGACTCTTAAAAACATCGACAAGAAAAAATACTCTTGATTCAATCGGATTTTGGCTTAAATCAAGAACCAAGCCTCTTAATTTAAGCGGATTTCCTTTTGATTTAAGCAAAAATCTGATTGAATCAAGAGTATTTTTTCTTGTCAATGTTTTCAAGAGTCTGGACTCTAGATCCAATGTGTTTTTTTTTTTCCAGTGGCTGGTCTTATTATGTGAATTAGATGATTAGGCTACCTAATATCAAGAACATTGTACAGAGATCCGGGAATCACAAAGTAAGTTGCACTCAACACTCGCACAGGATTTCAAATATTAAAAAGTTTGCGATCCTCAATTTTTGTGATTTTGACTTGTCCATGTACTCGAGCACTGTTTATGACAAAAAGGAAATATCATCTCTTTTTTCTATCATAAGCGTTCTTTCGATCGAGACTTCTAATCGGTGATTTTTCCAGCACTAAATTTTATCTGATTAGTTTCACAGCTCAATTGAAGCGCTGGGTGTGAAAAGGGCATTTCTTGCTTGCGGCGTCTCAAAATCTTCGCTATCGGTTCATCCATTATAATTGAAGCAAATATTCAGAATTCGTTGAAACTTTTAATTAATTCTCCTTATGATTATACACTGCTGAAACCGAAAAATTTCAGAAAATTCACCCAATAGTTGCCTCTCTAAAATGTGAATTAGCAGTGCGGATTCCGAAACGCCTTAACTAAAGAATGCCCTTTTTGCATCCAACGACTCAATTATGTCTCTGCCGCTTCAGCTCAAGTGATTATGTCGTCTTGAATAGCTTACTATCATCGCAATACCACTTGCTCCCCGGGGATGACTTGAAGACTTACCTGAAATTATGTGACCCCTCGTTTCAGGTTTGTTACCAGATGCATTGAACACCTCATGTGCTAAATGCACGGAGAAACAGAAAAAGATTGCCCGAAGAGTGATGACATTCTACTTGGACAAGTACCCCGCCAACTCCGCAAGAATCATTAAGAAGTACGACCCAGAAAACAAATTCAAGGATGGAATCGAAAAGGCGCTTCTCGGATCACGATGATCAAGCACTGAATAGGAAGGATTTCTATTTTCTTCGGGGCAGCCAAACAAGTTACCATATCTCTCCGCATTATTTGTGGAAGGGACCATATTTTTAATATATTAATCTATTATTCTCTCATTTATTGCAAGTATGAACTCTCTACTTAGTCAATATGTTGATTTCGTAGCCAAAATGTACCTCGCAGCTTGACTTTTTAATGGACCCTGCATACCTAATGGCGACGTCTAAATGTTGCCATAATGACTAGGTAGATTCATGCACGTGAATATTTTGCCCAATTTATTGTGTTTTTCATGTAAATGATTTAATTTATTTTCGTGATAATATTTTCTTTTGGTGTAAATATACTAATGGAAACTGAATGAAATTTTCACATGATTTTACATAGAACTTGTAAATCCGTTGTCAGCATTGCTCTCTTCTTCTTAATCAAATTTGGAAATTAGCTTATTTTTGACCAACCGTCTTTATAACGTGCCATTAGTGTGCCCCCAGAATTTAATATTTTTGAACACTACGAAAACAGTTTCAGTCCCATCCTTTGGTAGGTAAATTGAACAGTGGGCACAGTAAGAGCTTTTCTCAATTGCGTTGCTTCACAATATCCGCTTCTAATTAGTTTTTTTAGACAAGTGAATACGTTACCTCTCTGGCAATTGTCGTTTTAGACATTACAAAATCATTCCAAATATTCAGTAAACATTTCAACGACACATAGGCATTTGGTCTCCCTTTAGTGAACAAAATGTTAATTCTTTAAATGTCAGCTGTCTGAAAATAAGTAAGACAATCCGTTGCCCCTCTGAAGTAAGGGTTTTCTGGATTTTCGTATCAGCCTCAGAAATTATGAATTTTTTTAAGCGCAATGCTTGAAGTATCCCTTTAGGTTTGTAGGAGTCAGTGCGCGTTTTGAGCTCGCAGCACTTCGCGATGCAGCGTGCCATAAACTTGCACACCATTAATAGGCCAGAATGTTAAGATCTTGGTAATTTGTCATCAAATTCGAAATTAGCTACTCAAAAATCATTTATCAAAGCTCAAAAGTATCGGCGATATTTGCCCCATGATAAGACAGAAGTTACATTTTGAAAAAAAAAGATAAAAGATTGAAATACAAAAATAAGTCATGACCTTCTCTGGGAGATGATTGCTGTAACCTTAAACTAGCCGAGGATTCAGGAATTACGGATCGACCGCAATCAAATTGCAGATCCTCCAAAAAGATTAAATAATGCTTTTTCTTGGAGCATCCGTGTCATATTTCTCTAGGATGTACACTCCAAGTTCACAGCGCCCGCGAAAGTGACTCATTATCTTCTCAGCTGGCAATTACCTACATTTGAGAACACGCAAGCATTCTTCACGTTGAATGATTTTCACACCGTCTTATTTCGCTGTTGTTTGTTTTGGTGAGGTGGTCAAACGAGCCGTGAACTTGACCGACGTAGATTACGTCAGTTATGTTTACTACCAGAGCTGAAAGGAATTTCGGATCGGATTCTTCGCAAGGAGCACCAAAAATCTTGCATCCTATCAAACATATACTATCAAAATTTGCAGCATGCGAATGTGCAATTTTGAAGTTCTTTGTGTTGCCTTACCGCCAACCGTAAGACAAGGCATTATGCAATTATGATCGAGGTACGGCTTCCTATCAGAGGCTCTTGTACCCATATTACACTGAAAGGATGTGGAACATTTTTGATGGCTTCAAATTGGACCGCACTAGAGGAACCAAGCCACATCAGCTATTGCCAGATTTAATACAATTTAATTTCTGTGCACGGAAACGGTTGTGCCGGTTTTTGTGCAAACAGTGAATTTTCTACATAGTACGAAGTGAACTTCTCAAATGTTTCAAAAGAACCCGCACTTATGTTCTCTTAAAAAATTAAATTGCCCAGTTAAATTTAGCGATTATGGCTTGGGATCTTTCTGCTAAATATGGTCCAATAATTGGACGTATTTCTATGAAACAGACCTATGTGGAGGTGAGAAATATGGGGTGTGCTCGTGAGTTTTCAGGCTGTAAGAGTGAATGAGAATAATAAAGCGCCAGTGACGTCAGCGGCAATGAACGAGAGCGAGCGCGAGGGGGAGAACGTCGTCGGGGCGCTGTAACTCATGAGCCCTGTTCACAACGCTCTCGTCCCATGCCCGCGGCTCATGAATTCCGCATTCAGTTGCCACATAGGTCTGTTTGATAGAATGCAATATCCCGCTTTTCCAATTCTTCAAAAGGAACCACGCTCACTTTTACATTGTTTCTTATGCAGCTTTCTAGAGCACACCCCATATTTCTCACCTCCACATAGGTCTGTTTGATAGAAATACGTCCAATTATTCCCCTTCACTGAGAAAAAAGGTTACGGGCCATAAATACATACCGTCCGTTCCGTCCGTTGCCGCACAGGCTCAGAGGCTGGAAGTTCCGGGTGCTAGAGCCGTAGCGTAGATTGCTCCGTGTGCTACGTCCAGTACTCTCGGCCTCTGAGCCCGGAACGCGAACGATACTTCTATATGGCCTGTAAATACGACTTCCACAGCCGGAGTTTCTTTCAATGATATTTGAAACCCTAAAGGTGCGAAAGTAAGATTTCCACCAATTTCCTTGCAAGTCTTGGGGTCGCGTCCGAGGTTGAGCTTTTCCTCGCGGTTCGAACATCTGGCGTCCCTGCTCTCATAACACTTTTCAAATGGGACCCCCTCCTTTTGCTCGCTTTGAATCAAAAGACAAGCTCTTCACACTTTGAAAACCTTGATGAAGAAGATAGGGGTTGGTTCTCGCGCCAAGACGGGTGTCTTTGAGGGGTGACCCATTTCATCGGCGGCGTCTCCGAATCTCATGCAGATCTCTTTGGGCCGCGATCTTCGCCGCGATAGACTTCCGGTTCCAGACGAGTCTCTTGACCCCGTTTCCGGTTCCTTTTCTCGGCGCCTTTTCCGCTCCACTCAGAGGCAACACAAAAAAATCCCGAATGAAAAGATCGGGGGGTGTTCAGAATCGAAATCAAGTTAACAGATGAAAAAGCGGGCTTCGAGATGGGGGAGCGTTTCCATCAATGAAGAGCCCCCGGCCCCCCGGAATTATAGGGTCACGTTGCCTGTTTTATTTTACACTGGAAAAAAAAAACACATTGGATCTAGAGTCCAGACTCTTAAAAACATCGACAAGAAGAAAAACTCTTGATTCAATCAGATTTAAGCTTAAATCAAGAACCAAGCCTCTTAATTTGAGCGGATTTCGTTTTGATTTAAGCTTAAATCTGATTGAATCAAGAGTCTTTTTTCTTGTCAATGTTTTCAAGAGTCTGGACTCTAGACACAATGTGTTTCTGTCTCCAGTGCATTTCTTAACGTGGGTAGTGTTAATATTCAAGGGAGTAATAAATAGCAGCCGTTGTTAATCTGAATTAACTACGGTCAGAATATTCAAAATCCGTAAAAATCATCTACATTTTCTCGGAAACATTGAAAGTGCCAGTAAATTCACAGAAAGTTTTAATTTCGAATGCTTGGATGACTCACTGTCTAATGTGGGTAGTTTTCAAATTCATAATTTTTATATTTGTAATTATTACCGAGGTGTTGTGGTTGGTAATTGGAACTAAAAATAAACTTCTTTAAGGAGTTTCCAAATTTCCCATTATGCGACTGTCGGAAGAAGTAGGTAAACCCTACAATGTTCCAAGTTTTTATATTGTTCGCGATGTGTGCTCTTCCTCGTGAAAGGAGTTATTGTTTCGCTCCGAAATAGAATATCCTCCAGGGTCGGATTAAGTTGTTCGCAGGACTTTAATCTGTGATCGCGGAGAGAGAGAGAGATTAAAAACTTCAGTAGGCATCCACGTTTTTGTTTCCTTCCTCCTGACAAATATCTGGTCGACTTTTTTCATAATTTTCCACTCCGTAGTAAATGAATTCCATGTTCTGAGCTCCCTAACCGAACAGTGTTGTCTTTCTCCGAGATGTAATTACCAGTTTGCTTGTGGGCATGAGCGCCTCGCAGACTATCCTATACGCAAAGTTCGGCTATATTTAAGATACTTTTGAGAGACTTTTGCAAAGATAATTTCTCCGTAAAAGTATCCGCTGGAAGCTAATGTATGATCGCATATAGATCATACGAAGGAACCGTCGAAATAAATCAAATACGTTGATAAATCTAAAATGAAAACATAATAATAGCTCCCAACACCCATAATTTCATTTTTTTCTTGTACTTTCGCGAAAATCGGTGCATATCAATGCTTCCCAACCGAGTTTTAATCACTCCGAGACTGACTGCACAAATCTCCTGGATTTTTTTGCTTACGGACTGATCTCAAAGGATATGAACAGTGTTTTTCCGATTCATTCTTAATGATAATGAACACCCACGCACACAGCCCCTCGCAACGGTAGACCCATCGTTGCCAGACGCGTCCGGCCGGCAATTCCTCACCTTGAAATGATTTTTTCGGTCGCATCAAAGTGGCAACCGTTGAGACTCATTAAAAATCACAACCGGCATTAGAACAACGAACTAACTCGATTTTCGAGTATTGATAATCGACATTACCGCGTCACACCTGCTGTTTTATCGAAAGCGACGATCGATAAGTCGAAGCCGTTAGCGCGCGGTCTACGAGGACGACAGAAGAACAAAAGAAAATTTAGCGCTCCCTGTGCGACGGAAAGAACTCATTATCAAAAGAAAGTATACTACGCACAGTCCGTATTTTGTTTCTATGACGAGTCGTGGGGGGGGGGGGNGGAGGGAGGGGGCGTCGAAGAGAGACGGGGGAAACGGGCAAAAGCCCCAGTCATAGTTGCAAAAATCCGATGGAAAGAGCGCGTCTGCAAACACTGGTGCTGCGATGAAAAGAAGTCGCAGGGGAAAATCCAGCGCAAAATATTTCAGTCTCTCATGCAAACAAATTCTTTTTAAATACAGTTGCTGCCGCTGCACTTTTGGACTAGCGTTTGTTTTGGCGTAGGCATCCGTGTGCAGTTTCTCGTTCATACAACCGTTGATTCCGGGTTTTTTTTGTTTTTTTTGTTTTTAATTTTTGATAATTAAAAGTTCCATATTTTGCTCGTGTGCTGTACTTAAGCAAGACTCTCTGAACTGACGTGCAGTTGAAGGAGAGTTTTTAGATCTATTTCACCATTTGAAGAATAGGAATGGGAAACATCCTAAACGTTCCGAAGTGCCGCTAAATCCCTAACCGTAAGATAATCTAAATGCCCTCACATGATGAACTTCGAATTGGAGAATTTTCTCTGAATCTCGATTCAAATTATTAAAAATAGAGGTCGTTCCTTCGCTCGATGGGTTTTCGCCGAATGTGAGCGATCGCTTCAC